GGCGCTATCACCGCATTTAAACTCGAGGACAAAGCTGGATAAGTGATATATGTGGTGTGATTGTACGGAAAGTTGTTTTTCGCTGAATTCATAGTTTTACTCAGAGGTTTGATGATGCCGAAATGCCGAACATCCACTTCGCATAATTTGCGTTTTTTTTTTGTCCGAGGCTCCAATGTCGGTCATCTTTTCCACATTCGGCGGTCATCTATGGGCCACACACACGTCGCTCACATGATGCAATGCTGGTGTTGGTTCTCTCCCGACCACCAAGCTTAGGGGGCTGGGCGTAAAAAGTGTCAGTGTGACATCCTGATTCATTGAGCATCACTCGTTTGCCGGGGAGCTCTCTCTTAACGCTGCGGTAGTCCTGCAGAGTTTTAACCTTAACATGGGCCCCGTGAAAGGCGGTTAGTAGTATGATGCTCTGATTCTGGCGACGTTTTAGCTCCACAGCGGTGCGGCAAAAAGCAAAGCGCGAGAGTAATCATGTTTCTTTTGTGGAAGATTTGTTATGTGTTTAGTAGGACATTCTTGACGTGTTCCTGGAAAAAATAAAGTCGGGCAATCCTTTTGATAGGCCCGGTCCTTCAACAACTATGCATGCATCCTTTGCAGTTTTTAGCGCAGACGAATGTGGGTACATATAAGCGTAAACCCACTGCACTGTACGTATAGTTAGACATCACCAACCAAGCCATATGCATATATGTATATTTTACATAGATCTATACAATTAGAAGAAAATAATTAATTAGAACATGAAATAATATAAAAAGTCCAACAAAATATTAGGTATACACACCCACACATTATATTAACCCTGCTATGAGCGCAAAATACCCTCGGCGGTCGGCACGCCGTTAAGCCCCAGTCATCATGATCTGTGTGCCGTTTGCGGTTTCTCCTAGGCAGTCATGCTTTGGTCAGTCCTTAGCGATGGGCTATAGACATACTTGTTCAAAGCTGCCATAATCATCGTATTCGCCATGCACGTAGCCAGCGCTAATAACAAAGCGTTGCATAATTATTGCGGCGTAGGGTCAAACGGGCAAGGGTTGTGAATCAGAGGTATTTTGCCTGAACTCACTACAATTGGAAGTGCTTCTACCGTTCCTTTGCCACTGTCTTACGCAGTATATATATACATATATATATATATATATATATATATATATACATATATACACACACACATATATACTAGCAGTGAGTGACGGGCCAAACGCATTTAGCATGTTAATTGGGCCGGCCGACGAGCCAGTCAGATCATTCGTGGCGAAAACGCAAGGAGGCAGTTCGGTCCCAATGTCAAATTAGACGACCTGCATAGGAACTGCCATTGACAAGTCGATCCCACAGCTACAGCCCCCACTGCTACAGTCGGGCAGCAACGGCGAGCGGCAGCGAATCGCCAGGGAAATCAGCCAGTTCCATGCGCACTCGGGCGTCGGGGCGGGCCCGGTCGCTGCGCGGCAGTCGGACCCCTGGCGCCCAGTGTCTTTAAAACCTGATCGAGCACCGCACCGTCACATAGATGGCTGCGTACAGGCATTGCGGCGGACAGGGGTCAGGAATGGTGCGAGGTCAGGTATCGACATCCCACCATCCGGCGCGCATCTTTTGGCACGTGCAAAGTCCCTGCATTGCCGGGCCTGGCCCGTTCCGGCGGCACTGGTACGTGTTTTTTCCCGGCCGCCAGTACAGTGACATCAAAATCCCGTCTCTTCTCGAAACCAGCGGCTGTCGGGCGCAGCGCGCCGGGCTTGACTGGGACGCGGCGCCGACTACGACGCGACAGCCGCCAGCCGCGCTGCCGCTGCCATTTCCGGTGCGCCTGCGGCCGGCGAGCGGCGCCGGACCGGTCGGCCCGCACGCGTAGATGTCGCTGTCGGTCCCTACCGGGCCGCTACGCCGAGTACGGTCACTACCGGGCCGGATCGGGTCGGGTCGGCTACGGCGCTGGCGTGCTCGGGTCTGGCGGGTACGGCCGCAGTCCGCACACGCCCGAGGGCGCCAGCCTCGGCGCGGTGGAGGCGAGGTCAGCGGCGGCCTCGTCGCCGCCGCTGCCGCTCGGCCTCTCGCCCGCCTGCAAACCGCCTGCTGGCCGTCAGAGCCTAGTGTGCCGCGCCGCCCAGAGATGGCGCTGGTGGGCCGCCCGCCTTTGTGCCGCCGACTGCGCCGCTGCACGGACCGGTCGGCCTAGAATTTGGCAGCGCGGAAACCTGTCCCGAGTCCAGATCTGGCAACCGGCGTCGTGCCGCTGTGTTCGAGGCAGGCAGAGTTGCACAGTTTGCAGGTTCATGCAACAACTTGCAACTGACCGCCTACCAGAAGACAGACATAAGGAACGATATATCAACTCTAATAAAATATTGCACGTTTGTGAAAGGAAAAAGTCCAGCGAAGTGGGTGCGTCCAAAAATCATTGTAACACATGCAGTGTACGACCAATTTTAGTGCACAGTGTTACTATATTTAGTAGTACATTATCCTGATTTATTTTACGTTTTTTGGTGGAGACCCTTCAACGCGCGTTTTCGCTGCCCATTCCGTGGCTGCACAGAATGTGGTAAACCCAGCCAGTGTTTCGCATGGTTGGCAGCAAACCAAAAACGTGCGCTGGATGAAAACCTTCGAACTGAAAGTAATAGCGTTGCTGGTCTTCACAAATCAGCTGTAATGTGTAAAGTACACCAATAAGCAGCTGGAAGTTAAGTCCATTGGGCACGTTAAGTCGGTGTTCATTGGTGACATTGTAGTGCTGTGTGCTGACCAGAGACGCTCACGTGGATCAGCTTAAATCAGCTCCTCGCTGCAATCGCTGGCGTGGCTGGAGCCTGCGTGCTTCCGTCCTCTGTCATTCATGGTGAAACTTTTACCTTGCGTACTGCGGAGGAGCAGCAGCATCTGCCCCCCCCCCCCCCCCAGATTTCCCATCTGCAACGTGGAGCCCTTAGGGGTTGAGTACAAATAACTGATTTTCACGCTCTGTGCACGCAAATGGACCACCATAAGTTCCATGGCTTCCGCAAGCCTTCTGATGCAAGACCGTGACAACAGGGTATGCAGCGTGTCGGGAACTCCCGTGAGCGGACACGTCCGAGCGCTGGCCGGGGTATGCAAGGCACCACTCTCGGGAGAGACTGCACTGCTGTCTGGCCGCGCTGACGGCTAACCACATCGCTCTGGCCGCGCTGACGGCTAACCACATCGCTCTGGCCGCGCTGACGGCTAACCACATCGCTCTGGCCGCGCTGACGGCTAACCACATCGCTCTGGCCGCGCTGACGGCTAACCACATCGCTCTGGCCGCGCTGACGGCTAACCACATCGCTCTGGCCGCGCTGACGGCTAACCACATCGCTCTGGCCGCGCTGACGGCTAACCACATCGCTGCCATCAAACACTCGGCAGACGCCGTATTTAAAGGGGCTGGTGAACACCACGACTGCGCAGCCAGCCTGGCTGGCGCGTCCCTCCGCCAGTTCGGCTCGAGAGGGGATGGGGGGGGGGGGGGGCTACTTGGAGACGCCGGCTGCGGCGAGCAAGCGGCCAGTCCTCGGCGCTTGTGCGACCGCTGCAAGCTCGTGCATCTCGCAGCCACATCGACAAGGGCTGCAACGTCTGGTCCGCAGACTGCCAGTCATTTTTACCTGGCAAAGCCGGTTTTGGCGCGGTTGCAGGAGTTTCCAGTCCGCACCGACGTGGACCGAGAGTTTCCCGCCAAAATCCGCTTCTGCTGGGCGGCAACGCTCCCGGTAGGGCGCGCGTGGGGAGTGGGCCCGGCCAGCGGCTGTGTTTATGCTCAGCTGCAGATTTGGGTGCGCTTTTAATTAGCCCAGTAGCCCGTTCCATGCCAGCTTACCTCCTGCGTAATGTCCACAGATAACGCGGTCGTGATAACGTCTGCACTCCCCCGATGTTCTTTTTCGCGGTCGCAACCGAACTCTGCCTTCGCAAGTAATCCTGACTCCCAAATAAGTATCGCTGCCTCCCACGTTCAGCGTTCTGCATGTCACACGTCCCTGCGCATGCCGCATCCCTTCATCGCGGCAGGCGGTAAGCACTGCAGGTGTTGGTTCACCTCGTCTTATGCCGCCAACGCTCTTGCTAGTGCTGCAGGCTCGTAATCTCACCAGGACAGCGTCAGTACACACCGAGCAAGGTCCTCATTAGATGAACAGGACCGCAGACATGCGGTGCTGTTCGGTATCGTCACATTGGACTCCATTGGATACCCCGGTGCCCACGGCTCCTGGCGCGCCGTCGTGGCGGGGGGGGGGGGGGGGTACGTGCGCTGGTCCCAGGCGCTCCGACGGGGCGGCCTCGACTCACTCGCGCGCCACTGCGCGAGGTCCCGCGCCAGCCGACGGTGAGGCCGCTTTCTACGGCCCAGTCGATGCGGTGGCCTCCACGCGCCAGCCCCGGCCACGTTAGTGGGACACGCCAGCCGAGCGCGGCGGTGCGCTGCTCCGCTGGCGGCCACCTAGCGGCGATGTATCGCACCACGACCTCGGCTCCGTCCGCTGGGTGGCGGGGCGATTTGTGATGTGACGGTCGGATGCATGTGACTTGGGCGCGACGGCAGGCCCACCGTGACGAGTCACGGCGTTTGAAGCAAATGAGAGGCCGCTCCCTCGGCCGCGGTGCAAAACAGCTGTTGAGGTACTTACTAGAGCGGCTGTGACAATGCGCTGCTAACTGGGCCGAAGGGATTTCTATCAGTGTTCAAATGTGGATTTTGAAATAATCATGTCGTTGGCACGTGCGCTAGAAACTTTTTTGAATGCCATCCAGTTATGAGCATGGTTATTAATAGTTAGGTTTGAATGTGGTAATGCATATGGTATGAACGATATGCGATATTTCGACCGGCGTGCAACGATGAGTCTCCTGATTATGCGAATCTTGCGAATCGATTTTTTTTTGCGTGCCATGGTCTGCCACAGCCCGAGCCGCTCCGCGTTTCCGCCACTGACAGGCTTCTACGCCGGCAGGTTGACGTCATGGGTCACGTGGTGTCGGAGGCACCGGAGTCGGGCCTGAAGCGTCCACCGGAGTCGGCCGACCCGGGCAGCAAGCGACCGCGTCCGGCCGAGTGGACCGAGGAGACGCCGCCGCCCTCGCCGCACGACTCCTCGTCCGACGCCAGCGACGACGAGTCGGACGAGGAGGATGAGGACGAGGAGCCGGAGCGCGGCTACCAGGGCAGCATCCTGGCGTCATGCCTGCTGTCGGACAAGCGGACGGCGTTCGCGCCGGACGCCGAGCCGGCCTACAGCCCGGCGTGCGAGCTGGGCCGCGCCGGGCCCGCGTTCGGCGGCTGGTACCCGGACGGCGGCTTCCAGCGGCCGCAGAACCAGACGGTCGAGTGCGACGGTAAGAGCTACATCCAGCTGGGTGCGGTGCCGCCGCGCCGCGAGCGCTCGCAGTTCTACCGGTACCAGCGCTTCACGGCTCTGCACGCCACCATGGTGAAGCTCAGCCGACACCGGCGCATGATGGATCCGCTGCTGCGCAAGTCGGTGCTGCTGTTCAACACGATGCGCCACATCGAGCGCGAGCTGGAGCAGGAGGGGCTGAGCCTGGCGGCCGCGTTCAACCCGCACCACTTCGACAGCGGCCCGCTGACGCTGGACCCGCCGCCCCCGCCGTCGCCACCGCCACAGTCACCGCCGCCTCCGCCGCCGTTGCCGCCGCCGCCGCCGGCGTTGACGGCAGGGCCGGCGTCGGACGAAATTAACTGGGGCTCAGTGCTGAGCCTAGGCAGCCAACCGGAGCTGGAGCTACTGGCAGCAGACGGGGTGCCGCCCGGCTGGGCGCTGCCGCCGCTGTCGGCCGAGGACGTGCTGCGCTCGGTGCCGAACGAGCGGCGCGACGAGTCGACCGACGCTGTCGCCTCCCTGCTGGCACTCTAGCGTCGCGCCGTCCGCCGCCTGGCGCCGCCTCTGTGATATTGCGAGTACCTGGCCGGCCGGCAGGCGGCAGCACCGGCGGCGCTGCTCAAGGGGACTCACGCGGGCGAGCCCGTCTGTCAAAGCAAAGTACAAATGGGCGCGGGCAGGGCCCCGGGTGGAGTCCGGGACTGGCCGGTCGAAGGTGGTGGGTCGGTGTAGGGCGGCGCGTGGAACGGTGACCGTGACAGGCCCATTCCAGGCAACACTGCCCCTTCGGTGCCTCCCGGGGTGCACCATCGTCACACAGCGTGCTCAAATTCGTTGGCGTAGGGCGAGGCGCGACGGACCTGCCCAACGGGAGACTGGTCGGCCTCTACGGGCGGTCACGGAAATCACAAAGCTATAATTCAAGCTATTTAATGCCTAGCAGTATTTTGAAACAAGCAAAGTAGATTTTCGTATTAGTTTCAGGCGTCTGGGAAGCGACACTAACAAGTGCTGCCGAACCCCGCAACAGGCGGCAGAGCCCCGCCGCGGGTCCAGTGCCAATAGCAACACGAGCTGGATTTTCGTACTTCGTGACTTATGGCTACGGCCGAAAGGAACTTGGCTGGCAACCAGCCGACACGCGCACGCAATCTTTAGTTTTATACTACGGTTATCACCCCGTGAGATGTCGGCACTGGCCGCCACGTATTTATTCAGTTGTCGGTCTGCTTACTCTGTCTCGTCGAATGTCTCCACTCCAGTGTGTGAAAGATGACTGCAATTCGCAACGTTGGGTCTGCTTTACTTGCCATGCCCACATATCTTAGTGTCGCTGCTTTTATTCTTTTCATCCGCACGCTAGCGGGAAAGAGGTCCGCTTCTGCCTAACGTCTCACTTTCTGCATTTATGGCGCATCCTGAGCACCCGCGCCAGCAGTCAGAGCCGGACGGCGGTAGACGTAGGCAGGGGGCTGTGCAGAGTGACCGGTGGTGACGGATACTCCGGTCGATGGTGAAGTCGCCGCGTACGCGAGCACAAATGGTGCTCAACGAGGGCCACAGCTACCGGCGGGTGATTGTGTGCGCTGTATGACTCCGGGCAAGCTCAACAGGCACCTGGGTGAATTTCCAGGTGTTCACATTCACAAGCGTTGTGACAGAACGCGATTTCAAATCATCGAAGCATCCAGATTTATATCGTGTTTTGTACTATTGTAAATATTTGTATTCCATTTCGGAATAAACGTGAGTCATGCATATGTCGCGATTTGTTTGAAGCCGCTGCGGCGGGACGATAGCCAGCCCATCGCACGTGTCGCACTGGCACCAGCAAGCAGAGCGGACCTCAAGACGCCTCCCGCGACGAGCAGGCGTCCCAGAACACATCTGATAAGGGAAGCTGGCAAAGCTCGCGAAAGCGCGCCGGCGACAAGCCGTGCGAATCTGCGCACAATTCTCCGAGAATGGCACGCGCCGTGCGAAGCCCCCAGCCGCATATACAGACGGACGGGCGCCCAGGCTGAGATTCAAATTATCATCGAACGACAGGTTAGCAAAATGGAACCCGACGCGATGTGAAAACACCATCGTGCCCATGGAGCGCGGCCCACAATCGGTTCCCAGCTAGAGGACGAGACTGGCTGCTGCTGACAACGCTCCCACCAACGGGAGATGGGGCCTGATCCGTGAGGTCCAGCAGCGGGCCAGGCTAACCGTGCGACCACTCCTCAGGAACAGCGTCAACCCAGGGAGACAGACAGCAGCCAGAAAACGACAGGCTATCGGCACGCCATCAATAGTGAACAAGGGCTGCAGCAAGGCAGTGCTCGAACATTTTCATTGCATCAAAATGTTTGAGTGAGGCCACGGATTGCGAAACTCAAAATTTGTTGGTCTCATACATTCGCGAAAACATAGGCTTGACGTGGTTGGGAAAATGGTTGATATTCTGCGGTACCATAACAGCATGTGCTGTGCACTGGGCAACGCGAGGAGAAGAGAACTAAAATCGGAAAACGTTTTCCTTTATGTGCCGTTTCCTTTCTTTTGCCATTTCTAACACGCTGCCTTCGACTGGCGCATCAGCTGCAAATCGCAGATAAACGAGATATGGTTGACTTGACCCGCTGCTGGTGGCGTCTACTCACCGGCCATAACATCAAGAATCCCACCGACAACAAAAAGCGTGTGACACATCGCCCACGGATGATAATGATGATGATTTGGGGTTTTAGGGCGCATCGACTGCTGAAGTACATGCAGCGCCCATAACTATCAATTTATGCAGAGCCGTCAATCAGAGAAGTGCATCAATCAGGTCACCCTCTAAGGCCTTGATGATCAGCCCTAGCATCATGATGAACAGATTACTGGGAAATCTATAGCGCGAAGAAACTGGAGCACTTTACCAAACTCGACGGCGTTCGAAGAATCCTCTAAAAAGTCACATAGCGTGCGACTCTGTACGTAGTGTCCGAAAAACTGCGCTCTCGTTGCAGTGAGGTGGCGGCAAGCGACCAGTACGTGATGCACGGCCAGTGTGTCAGAGCATCGACTGCAGCGTGGTCTGTCGCCAGCCAATAGCAGATGACGGTGCGTAACGTATGTGTGACCTATGCGTAACCGGCAAAGGGCAACTTCTTCCACCCGATTGTCCCGAAAGCACGATTGCCATAGTCCAATACGGGGTTTCACCGACTGCAGCTTGTTGGCGCTCAGCGAGTTCCAGTGGAACTGCCATCGCTTCTGCATAAACAACGATACTGCGGGGTACATGTCTTGAGCTGGTAGTGGTGTTATAAAAATTCTAGTCCCTGTCGTAGCGCGCTTTGCTGCCGCGTCAGCAAGATCATTTCCGCATATCCCCACGTGACCTGGGATCCAGCATAGAACGACCGTTTTTCCTGCTCGATCCAGTGATCTAAGACGCCATTGAATGTTCTGGACCAGTGGATTCGACGGGGAGAAGCCGCCAACAGCCAGGAGACTGCTCAGGGAGTCGGAAAGAATCAAATGCAGATTGCTATCGTCCACTTCAATAAAACAGAGAGCTTTGCTGATGGATATAAGCTCGGAGGTGAAGACCGACGCGTGTGCAGGCAGTGTGAATGACCGTGTTGTGGATCCACACACAAAAGCGCGCCCTACACCTGCGTCCGTCTTTGAACCATCCGTATAAGTCGTCATGCACCCATCAAAAGAAGCTATGTGTTCTAAGGCTGCCCCTTTAAGTTCCGTCATGAGAACGCGTTGCTTTTTCATGTTTGATAACGAATTATCCACCCTTGGCGATGCTAGCTCCCAGGGAGCAGTCTTCATGAGTTTAGGTCTGATGACACGCCGTAGGTTCAGGCCGCTCGCGTCTAGAAGTTCTCTCATTCGTACACAAAAGGGGAAGTTTGTGGAGACCGTTGACGTAGAAAAAGCCTTCGTAAGCTACTCGAAAACACTGCTTTGTAGGTGGGATGATCTAGGAACTGCGCCAGCTTGCACGTGTAGCGCAATCCCAGCATCTGCCTTCGCAATGCTAGTAGGGGCTCGTGAGCCTCCACCAGAAGACTATCTATGGGCGGTGTTTGAAAGGCTCCTGTGGCGATACGGAGTGCAGCGTGATGCGCCGTGTTTAAAGTCGTTTGATCAGGTCTGACGAACCGTCATAGATAAAACAACCGTAGTCAAGTTTTGAACGAATCAGGGAGCGGTATAGGAGTACGAGTGCCCTCCGATCAGCACCATATGTTGCTGATGAGATGCTGATATGATGTTGAGAGATTTTAAACATTTGTCGCGGAGATTTCTTATGTGCTCACGGTATGTTAGGCGTCGGTCAAATCGTGTACCGAGAAATTTCACGGTACTGCCATCGGCGACGCGTTGCCCATACAGCCTGATTTCCATATCAGGACAGTGACCGCGACGACGACAGAAATGGACTACAGTTGTCTTCGATGCGGAAAACCGGAAACCGTTGAGCACACTCCACTTCTCCAGACCTGTGACAGCCAGCTGCAGCTGTCGCTCCATCATGCGAGTGGTCAATGAGCTACACCAAATAGCGAAGTCGTCTACAAACAGAGAACGGCTAATCCCATGTGGAAGCGTGTCCCCTATGTCGTTTATCATTACTGCGGAAAGAATGACACTTAATACGCTGCCCTGAGGCACACCATTGCCCTGCGGATACCTGTCGGAGCGATGAGAACTAACACGCACCCGAAAGAATCTGTCAGTCAAAAAGTTTTGTAAAAACTTTCCCATGTGGCCGCGGATGCCACAATCAAGTAATTTCATCAAAATTCCATGTCTCCATGTGGTGTCATAAGCTTTTTCTATGTCAAAGAAGATGGCGCCGGTATGACACTTGCTACTATATCCGGCTCGCACTGCGGTATCAAGAGTTAAGATGTGGTCAAGCGTGCTCCTGTTCTTACGGAATCCGCACTGAGCATTCGTGAAAAAGTTTTGACGTTCTTAAGTCCACGAGAGCCGCACATTCACCATTCTTTCCATGAAATTACAAAGCGAAGATGTGAGGGCAATCGGGCGGTAGTCAACAGCGTTCGTCCCACTTTTCCCGGCTTTTAAAATAGGCACTACTATGGCCTCTCACCAGATTGGCGGGAAGTTACCTGACTCCCACATGCAGTTGAAAGTGCCAGCAACGCTCGTAGTACACGGGGAGGAAAATGACGTATCATATCATTGTGGATGAGGTCGGGCCCCCTCCGCTACACTACGCAGCGAGCAAATGGCCGCTTAAAGCTCCATCATAGTGAAATGTTTGTTGTACGTCAGAACGTCATCTGTATAAAAATCAACCTGCGAAGTTTCACATCGTGCCCTGTGCCGCAAAAACCGTGGATCGCAGGTGCCATTTCGGCAACGGTCTGACAGGGCTTCCCCAATGGCTTCTGCCACATCACTTGGGTGAGTGATGTCTTGACTTCCCACTCGCAGTACGGGAAGGAAAACTGGTGGATGCAGTCCAGCGATTCGTTTAATGCGGCCCCATACATGTGACGTCGGCGTGTGGCGATTCAGTGAATTGACGTAGCTGCGCCATGATGCACGTTTCGCCTCTCGTATAGTGCGGCGTGCGGCCGCGCGTGGTTGCCTGAAAGCCAAAAGGTTTAATGTGTTGCTATGCCGGTCAAAAGCCCTAAAAGCTCTCCAACGTGCACGAATATCGTCGCGACACTCGTCGCTCCACCAAGGTACAGGAGTGCGACGAGGGCATCCGGAGGTGCGCGGAATGCCTCCTTTCGCCGCATGCAATACGAGAGACGTAAACTCCTCCGTCGTCGGAGTTGCAGAGTCGAAATCTTTAGAAAAGGTTTCGTCCAAACGGGTCTCAAATCCACTCCAGTCCGCCTTCTTGAAATTCCAACGCTGAGGTCGAGTACCAGGGACAGTACCGCCACGGTACCGAACCCAGACCGGAAAATGGTCACTTCCAAGGGGGTCCTCTGAAGCATCCCAGGTGAAGTGTGGTAACAACAGCGGACTACAAATGCTCAGGTCTAGCACCGACGATTGTCCTGATGGCAATGCAAAATGCGTTCTTGATCCTGTATTTAAAACGCACAAACCTTCGTCACGCATGAGAGCCTCACATAGCCTCCCGCGAGTGTTCGTGGAAGCACACCCCCACACAGTGTGATGTGCATTAAAATCGCCTAAAACGAGTAGAGGGGGAGAAAGTTGAGACTAACTCTCGTAGTCCTCCAGATGGAAATGAAACCCCAGGTGGCAAGTAGAGAGAGCAGACAGCTATGGTGCGGCGGTTGAAATTCACCGTTGCTGCGACAGCCTGCAAGTCTGTTCTCGATACCAGACGCCGTGTAGGTACGCTTTGGTGTACAGCCAAAAGAACGCCACCGTGAGCAGCGGTGTCTGCTGGCATGTCAGTGCGGAAGGTAGTGTACCCTTTCAGGCTGAAGGCCGCATCAGGCGCCAACTTGGTCTCCTGGAGACACACGGCTACCGGGCAGTGCGCGCTTAAAACTGTCTGCAAGTCCTGGGTGCCTGACCTTACACCTCTGCAGTTCCACTGTAAAACTGACTGCACTGAAGAGGCTTTAAAAGCACTGTAAGGTTTTAAAAGAACTCAGCAGCCTGGCCCATGGTTGTTGGTTCTGTCTTCAGAGCCCAAAGAGATCGGGCGGATCCTGGATCGGATCCGGAGACTACCGCCATCTGTTGGCGAAATCGGCCCCGGCGGTCCACGCTTTTCCGGTCGCCCCGTCCTAAACTGAGCCGGCGCCGGCGACGCCGTGGTCCTAGGCGGTGGTGGTGGTGGAGGACCCATAGACGGGTCTCTCCGCGAGTCGGAGGGGCCTGAGGGAGCTTCCACACGCTTTCGGGGAGGTGGGACTACCTCCCCCGTGGGAGCAGGCCCGGGGCCCGCACCCGGCAGCCGACTGGCTGCCTTCGCCCTCTCCTGCTCCTGAAGGCGTGCACGCTTTGCCTCGCGCGCCCGTCTCTCCGCCTCATGGCGCTCAAGGTTGTCCAGTTTTCGTCCCATCGTCTCACTCAGGGTTGTAGGACGTGATGCTCCTAGGGACGGCTGTGAAGCCGGTGATCGCGCGCTTACTGGCGAAGACCGGGAGGTTCGGCCCCGGCGGACCACGGTCCACTCACTGCTTTCGGCTGGAGTGGGGTGAGGCGGCGAGGTAACAACTGGCGCGCTGGTCTGTGCCTCAGAGGGGGCACAGGGTGCCAACGAGACGGGGGACGACAGTGTTGCCGATGCTGTGGCGTGCACCTGAGACGCCGGTACAACCGACAGCCCGAACGATTTAAGCAGTTTAATGAACTGCGTTCCAGTCATCTGGTCTAAGGAGACCTCAGGTGGGACAGGAGCCTTGGCCGCTGTGGCATATGATGTCTTAGGGTGGCTCAGTTCATATAAATCCCTTGCTTCCCGAAATGAGATGTTCTTCGTGGTTTTTAGTGCGATGATCTCCTTCTCTCTGGCGTACGCCGGGCATGCGCGATCGAAAGTGGAGCGAGGTTTCTGGTTTTTCCCACAGTTCACACACCATGGGTTCGCTGCAGTGCACTGATCGCTCGGGTGCTCCGGAGAAGCACACTTGCCACATGCTGGCTGGTGGCGGTGGAAATCCTTTGTATGTCCAAACATTTGACACTTAAAACATCTCATGGGATTCGGAATAAAAAGGCGCACCTTTACCTTCACATAGCCCACCCTTACTTCAGATGGTATGTCAGGACGACTCAAAGTCAGCACAATGTTGTTCGTGGGGACCAGCTCCGCACCTCTGCGCACCTATATGCGGCGAGCATCTGCTACCCCGAACTCAGCGAGACCGTCGACTATCTCCTCATCACTGACATCTCTCAGGTCAAAACAGTTCATGATACCCTTTGACGAGTTCTTTGTCCTGTGGACCTCCACAGCCATCGCCACTGACACGTCCTTTTTCCCCTCGGCATCCCGTACACAGTACACAAACCTATTCGAGGTCCTGGCCCGTTCGGCCTCCTCTCCGTTCTGGAACTCAACCTCGATCCCACCGTCCTTGAGCTTATCGCATCGGAGCACCTTTCCAAACCGATCACACCCATTTCGCCTTTGAAAGGGCGAACGGGACGACGACGGCTTCTCGGCGCTTCGGAAAATCAAGATCCGAGGTGTAGGCGCTGACGCACTACCGCCTGTAGCCTCAGTCCGCCCCCCTTTCGGGGTGCGGGTGTTTTTTGAGTTTATAGTTACCGTGCGCGTAATGTTGTAACATTCGGCACCGAGGCTCCCCACCCACCTCGGAGACCAGGTGGGGGACGGCCCACTCACCCAGGGGGTGGTGGTTCCGCCAGGGCTACACCGGTGCTATACGGGGCGAACGACGCCTCCCACACGGCCAGGTGTAACCGGGGAGACCCCTCCCCGTCCTGACCGTGGTTCAGCGCCGCCGCCCCTTGACCCCTTAAGCCGCTGCGCACGGCCAGGCGTCCCAAGCGGATAAACGCACGGAGCACCCAGCCGCAGCGTGAGCGACAAGCCACTAGACCCGTGTGGGGCCCCACGAGCCCCCCACGCCTCCGGATATCCTGGCCAAAGTGGAGTGTTGGGACGCGCCGTGACTGACCCGCACGACGCGCCCCTCAGCCACCAGGATCCGATCAACCCGGGGACGTGGGCGAGGGGGCACGGTGACCCCGATAAAACGGGGATGAGGAGTAGCGATAGGGCCGGATACGGGAGCGCGGGTAATGTGGATGGAGCGGTCGGGACAAGAAGGAGCTCACGTGTAGTGATAGGGCCGGATGCGGGAGCGTGGGTAATGTGGAGGGAGCGGTCGGCACAAGGAGCAGAAGCTCATGTGTAGTAATAGGGCTGGATGCGGGAGCGCGGGTAATGTGGAGGGAGCGGTCGGGACAAGGAGCAGGAGCTCACGTGTAGTGATAGGGCCGGATGCGGGAGCGCGGGCAATGTGGAGGGAGCGGTCGGGACAAGGAGCAGGAGCTCACGTGCCGGATCACCCACGGAGCCGCCACAGCAAACACAGTCCCCATACCTCAGCTGTATTTGTGGAAGCCACACAAGATCACTGGTACAATGGACCACACAGCCCTGCATGCATGGCGGCGCGTGGCAGCCGCACACCACTGTTGTGGACGGCAGCTGTACGCCTCCCTCCCGCGGCTAGCGTAACGAGCGGGATGCACCCCGATATACCCCCATACATCTATCACGCCACGGTCACCAGGCTCCAGCCTGTCGACGCGCACGCCAGTCGAAGGGTCCGAATGCCACCTGTCAGGATGGCAGAACGTACCCCACTGATCGCCGAATACACCAACACGAGCCACGCGAGGGTTCACAGTCACGCTGCATTCGATTACACCCACGATCACTATCACGTGGCATCCGCCCGGTGTCTTAGTTGGAAGGACGACCCGCCCAGCCCCTCGCTCCGCCCCAGCATTCCCTCGCGTTTTGTGGCGACGAAGGTGGACTTGCCCGGTCGACACCTGACCCACTGGGACGCAACCGGCGTCAGTTCAGGGTCTCGCGCGGGGCTCGCCAGCGGCTGCTGAGAGCTCGGGTCAGCGCCATCAGTGACAGTGACCTGGCTGATCCAGCTAGTGGTAGCGAGCCTCTGGTGACAGCAGCGTCATCCGAGCATAGTTCTGAAGCCTCGGGAAGCTTACGCATTACAAAATTTGACTAGATGATATAGCCCTGGAATGCATGGCATGGATGACTTGATGTCTTGCTATCAAAGTTGCACCCTTAAACAAAATTCCTATACAAACACCGCAGCCTGATTTCACTCAACGCACTTGCTATCTATTTATGTTAATTCTTCACCAGTGTGTGGTGAAGCGCAAAATGCATCTACTCAATATTCCTGAGCATAAGTGCCCTTATGGCATTGGTATCGTTAGCGAGCATTAATACCGTGATATATTCCAAAAGCCTGAGTCCAGCTTCGCGAAGATTCAAAAATGTCTAGGTTAAAGGGAATGTCCCGCCCTTGACGATATAGACGCAAGTATCAGGTTTGATGAAGTAAGCTCACTTTTAACTACTGGTATATTTTAAAGTGAGCTGCTCCGGACAACACAATTTCTTTATTTAGCAGCTATGCTGCTCTATGCATCATCGTTTTATTGCATCATGGAGCGTTTGAATGACGTCGAAGTGCTGCCAAGCTAGCCGTGACAAATTGCCATCCTTGCACCAACTTGTAGAACTTGAAAATCACCGAGAGATGGCAGTGCGGTGATAGAAGTGTTCGGCGAGCAATATCGTTATGTGCTCCGATTTCGGCCATTTCTCGTGACGTTCTTGCGTATTCATCCAAGCGTTTAAGACGTTCCCTTGCATTCATTATCTGTCATGGTGTTAGTTTGAAATTATTCGGTTGCATGTCGCTATTTCCGTAATGACTACCAATAATGTCCAATCTCTTGTATAATATAGCACAAAATGTCATTGGTGGTTACAGATTGCATAGCTTGCTCAACCTTAAACGCGAGCCAACTGATGTGCGTTATATTTGGGAATTGTGCTTGCGGACACTAGATCTGAACGGCTGGACGATGCTATTTCTTCTGGCCTTGAACGCCGTCTGGCTTGAGGCGTGGCGGGGTCTGGATGTCATTACTATGACATCATGAATGCTTACATGACCTTGAAATAGTCTACACATCTTCGCAGGCGTGCAGCTCAAGAAACTGGATGGTTCTATATATTACAAAGAGCAAGGCTGTGAACTGCAACGAATGATCTTTAAAATGCCTATTTCCGTTTGAAACCCCACACAAATGTGAAACACTCCCTTTACTACCTTTAAGGAGATTATGAAATTATGCGGATTATGGGTCATGCATGTGGGAAAATGCTGAATCAGGATTAGCAGCCCACCCTCAAAAGTCCGCTTACTAGTGTTGTGCTTGTAGCCGGTTGACGTTCATGTGATATGCCAATCACTTGGCTTTGTTTTCATGAGAAACTCCGGGATGAAACCTTGCTATAAAAGCACGCATGTGAGGCCTTACACGATGTGCTCCCCATTTCTGTGTGGTTTTGAACTAAAATAACTATCCCGAATTTCACTAGGTGCAGTTCACCACCCTGTCCTTCTTAAGACTCCAAAACGCCCTGACCTTCGACGCCCTGTTCTTCCAAACCCGCTAGCTCCTGAGCTACACGCCTGCGGAGGTGGGGAGACTTTTCTTGGAAAGAGTATGTCAAGGTCACATTGACATTCATAACATCATAATAACGGCCTTGAAGTCCTGCCATTCCATAAGCCATGCGGCGACCAAGGCAAAAAAAAAAAAAAATGACCGGGTCTTTCATGTCTGGCGTTCCCGAGCATTATTTCCAGATTTAACAGCCGTCAATTGGCTCTCAATCGATTTTGTGCAAGGTACGATGACGTAATAAAAAATGACTTATTGAGGAGCGTATTTACTTAACGTAGAAATTGTGTTGTCTTGAACAGTCTTTTCTAGTTAAAAGTACGCCAAAAGCCACAAAAAGCCTGTCTCGTCACATCTGATGCTTGCTTCAATGCATTTAATTGTGAAACATTCCCTTTCACGCCAACATATTTGTTTATACATTCCCATAACTGGTGTCCCCAAAGCCATAGCTTGTTCACGGTAAACTTGGATCCCAAAGCTAACTTTCTTATCCCGTTTGTGTGGAAGTCGATTGTGGACCACAGCCATATCAAGCTAACAACCTGGCATGTCGGAGGTTTTGACACAGGTCACACGACGCTAGCCTGTCAGAGGTCACTGACAGAGGTCATACGACGCTGACAGGTCGAAGGTCACTGACAGAATTTTCACACGAAGCTGACCTGTCGGAGACCACTGACAGAGGTCACACGACGCCGACCTGTCGGAGGTCAGTGACGGTCGCATACCGCTGCCGGTCGTCGGCCGTGAGAGCGGCGTTTCCAGGCCTGACCGCCAGGGTGGTCAGCAAGCCGGCACCGCTGGCCGCCTCGGCCTCTGCCGACAGAACACGGTCGAGTCAGGGCCGCTCAGCCGCCGCCGCCCGGCGGCCCGCACGCAGATGACACGTCAGCCAGCACGGCATGGCTCAGACTATGCACCTACTGCTCGACATACATCGCCATGCACAGATGTGCGCGGTGGAATAACTGCGCTGGCATCTAGCCCACTGGGCCGGGGGAGTCTAACATCGCTGCCGCCGGGGACAGCCGGACGAAGCGGGCGCTGCCGTCACCCGTGTGTCGCAGTGGCCGGCTGCCAGCCACAGCGCTGCTGTCTCGTGTGCGCCAGCACAGCAGTGTTCTGGCTGGGACCGGCCTACCTTTCGGAATGTCTGTGACGAACATGATCTGGTCCGGAGAGCAGCCGATGGCCTTCGCGATTTTAGAGTAGCTCTCTTGCTCTGTCTTCGGTCCCGTGGTGGTGTCAAAATGGCCACTGAATTGCTGAAAAAAGTTCGTGGACAATTTTTGGGTCGGCGAAATAAATCGTCATTTACCGGGATCTTAGGACACGTCGACTGCTGTAGTTTGCGTCATCCAGCCAAAAAAATCCATCCATAACACAACATAGTTGACGAAGTTCAAAGACGTATGAAAACATACACAGCACATCATTTATGAGGTAAAAGCCTATTATCTTTTAGACGCCATGCAGGATTCACTGATGCAAATGAGCATGCACGAAGCATGTGGCAGAGACGATTGGGGACCGGGCTCCAGTTCTGGCCCAACCCCACCTGTAGCAGAGATCCCCACCCACCCCACCTGCAGCAGAGAGCCATGCGGGGTGTGTTCAAACAGCAGCTTCTGGGCGGCGATGCTGCCCGACGAGTAGATCCAGATGGTGAGACCCTGCCGCCGCCACTGCTCCAGGGCGTGCGGCACGTCCTCGTACACGCTGGGGGTACAGCAGCGGTGAGGCCCTGGCGCCGCCACTGCTCCAGCGCGTGCGGCACGCCCTCGTACACGCTAGGGGTTCGGCAGCGGTGACACACCGCCTAACGCGAGGTCCAGTCGCCGACTGACAGGCGGCCGCACGACAGCTGGTGCTTTGCTGTTTGATGGAGAAAACGCTATACGTCATGGCAACAGCGAGGCCGCAGTATGCTGCCGTCCGACACTACGTACCTATACCCAAAACGAGGAAGAAAGTGCACTGAGCTAATGCAATACGAGCATGCAAGGCTGAACGGACGAGACGCATGCACACAGTATAACCAATACACCCAAGCCGCCATCACCGCCGCGAAACAAACACTCACTAGAAATACAAGTCAACTTATGCTACCAAATCGTAATTTTTACATGCTGTTAAGAAACGCGCCCAGTCCGACTGCGGACTGGGTGTCTGACGAACAAAAGACAGACCGCGAGCTAGTTCGGCCTGCGAAGCCTGGTGCTGCATGCATTGGTAGTGAAAGGACAGGCGAGCACGATTCAAGGCCCTACCATGCATCCGACTATCACTGTATGACGTTCAACTGGACTTGCCGAGCGAACTTCCACGGCCACTTCACAATGGGCGCAGGCTGGCCATTCCTGCATGCAGCAGAATGCAGCAGTCCCATTCCCGGCCGTAAGCACCACCCCATGCCTGCCTGGCGGCCTGCGCCTGGCCGGCCGCCGCCGGCGGCGGCGCATGCCATCTCCCAGCCGGACGCACTGGGCGGCGATGCGGCCGGAGCGGTAGCCGTCGCGCCACACCAGGCCCTGCAGCCGCTTCAGGGCCGTGACCTTGCGGTCTGCGTCCATCAGCAGCAGCAGGTAGCGCCCCACGGCCGCGCGCAGCACCGCCGGCTCGGCGTCGGCCGGCGGCAGCGGCGGCGCCGGCTGTCCCGACCGCCGGTCCGCGGCAACCTGGGCCGGGCCAGGGGCCATGTCACGAAGACTGACGCCCTCACAGACAGTATGAAGGCGACGTCTGTAAGGTTATGTCCTAATGGCTGCTGTGCCAGACATGTTGAGGTCCGAGCAGACCACACCTTCCAGACTGGGATGGGAGATTTTCCCGTGATCTGCTGCATCATGGTGCAAGGCATGACAAGCATTCAAGGACCTCCTAAGTTACTGGATGAGAACATATTAAAAAAGAAATAATTTTGACAACTGCGCTTCATCCTTATCTCATCAGTTCACCTAAAATTCCATTCAGGTAAATGCAAAGCACTATTCACATGCATAGCTAGATGACAACCAGGTTGAAGATAATTTGTCCCCATTTGTTACACAGGAAAAAAGCCTTTTAAGCAAACTGTTAATACCTGATCCCTCAGCATACCAACAATACTCTTGCACTCATCAGTCTCCCAGTTTTCGTGAAGAAATGCATCAAGATGTTCTCTTGCATATGGGAATAGTATGTCCTGAAAATAAGGTGATGTGTTAACAATGAATAAATCTATATGGGTTTTATTCAGCTCATGTGACCAAAAAAACCAGCTGCAGATGTGTGTAACTTATCAATTAACACTTCAATTTCTGCCCACCATCAAACTGAAAAGTGCACCTGATTCATGCTGAACACAAGGCTGAGCGGTTCACATTTAATATGGTGTGTAATCATAATGCATCTGAATCTCTTTGGCTCAAATTGTGTATTACAACTGTTTGATCTGTTTGATACCAAGCAACACATCAAATAAGCTTTCCCCTTCCATGCATCTGAGAACAAAATCCCACAATCAACATGTATAAACAACTTATTGGGGTGTTTGCATAGGTGACAATGTTGCCACTGCTAGTCACCACAAAGTGAACACTCTGGTACATCTTCACCAAAATAGGATATCAAATAAAACCTGGATGAAAAGAATCACCTTGACAAAACTTATAGATGTTGTTGTTCCTTCTATATCCAGCAAAACAGCATTCACAGGGGCAACCATGATGATATGAGTTCAGGACCTCCTGAAAACATGTAGTTAACCCATTAATACAACAACATATCATGTCAAACTTGTCATGTCATGTCAAACATGTCATTCTTGGCCCTTATGGTCACATGGCCTAAGCGTCCGTTCTTACCGACGCAAGCATATGGTTTGATAGATCAAATTGCATTGTGTTAGCAGGTGCTTGGTTGGGGGAACAAATTGAGCCCTCCTAAAGATTCTTCTGGAACAGTTTCCGAGCGGGGCAGTGCGGCCGCGCCAAATTTTGCATAGCTTTAGGCAACTGAACAGCAGTTTGTATGGTATAAAAAATTTGATGTACCTTGTAACATCACTGACCTACTGCTGGTCAAAGTTAGGCCTTGAATTCAGCAGACAATTTCCACACAATCATTCAATCTGATGCAAAATGGAGTTTTAGATGAAGTCATACATCCCTGAAATAGTTTCTTGGATCACAAAAAAATTGATTAGAGAAACTCCATTGACCTAAGATCAAGCATGAAGGTCAGACCAGATACAAACCAACCTATTTTATTCATCTACAGCTTGTTGTATGGGGGTAGCTTCTGGTGCTCATTTTTAGTTTGTTGATAACAGAAACCACATTATACATCTCCCATTGAATCCTTAAAGGTCATACCAGGTTATTGACCTAAAATGACCTGGGTCATTTCATTTTTAGGGATATATTGCCTAGCATAATCTTTGACACCTGTTCCAGTGTAGAAATCAAACCTGTCTTGTTTGATTTTGGTCCCCATGACCTGCAACAAGCCAAAACAAAGTCACTGACCTTGCACAAGCACCAGTGACCAGGAATCATTTGATTAGAGCAGGTGTCTTGGTTCACTGTGGCTGCTTGGAGCAGTCATCTTACTTGCTTAGAGTAGGTATCTTAGTTCACAGTGGCTGCATGAGAAAGTCTGGGAGCACTTTGGACACCAATCTGGAGTCTGGCCTTGTCTGACCTTATTTGACCTGAATGTCATGACCTAGGAACCTCTAACTTTGACAAAAATGAGTTCATGTAGAGGCCGATCCACCCTGAGAATTTGATGTCTTTAGCTTCCTTGGTATCTGAGATCTCAGGAGGGTCAAATTGAACTCCACCTGAATAAAGAGTATTTAACTGGCCACCCATGTGCGTATTGAGTTAAATCTAAGATCTATTTGAAAATCATTTTTCTTTGAATGACACTGAGGTACTTCACTTCCAGGACCAGTATCCAATGACAATCTTTTAGCAGACAAATACTTAAGAGTGATATAAAAACTAAAGTTTCTGAGCATGTTTTACTATTAGAGCATAGCAAAAGTGCAGCAAGGAAGGGAGGAGAGGTTTTATACATCACAACATTGCACTCAGGCCTCACATGTGATTGCAAATTGCTAGACAGAGTATAAAATTAAAGCTGGGTGCTGCTGGCTTCCTGTGGTGACAGTTAAAACAATAGCCATTCACTTCACATTTCTAGCACACATAGGGGCTTAACAGGCAATGCTTCTTTGAGATGTAACTTACGGAGAGAACAGGGGTAAGCACAACCAGTGCATAACCAAGGGGAGGGACAGGTGAAAAATATGTGTAACCAAGAGGATAAAGAGGTGAAAAATATTGAACAAGTAATGGAAACACCCCAGATGACTAATTACAGCTTCACCCATGGTTCTGATGATAAAAACATAGTACCACTCAAAACTGCTATTTAAAAAAAAAGTTTCCATAAAACATGAAACCTATAACAAACCAGTAAAAAAGCATGACACGTAAGGTGGCAAAATCCGCCTATAACTCGAATTCATCTACCTTATACTTGAAAATCAAAATTAACATCAGCATGAAAAATATTGTTAGACATTTTAAACAAAACATAAAACACGCAAACCAATATGCTGGCAACATTCACAATCAAATACAAATTGACTGTAGCTCGTTGCGGTTAACCATCACTGACACAAAAAGTTTGCCCTGCAGTTAGCGCCCAACCATTAACTTACGTTCCTAACATACCACCCCACACCCCCCCTGCACTTCCACGGCCAAGGCCAGCCACGGCATTCTCCAAGGAGCACCCCCTACCGTGCTCTCTTCATCTTGAATTGTGTCACATCTGCGTCGTAGTCGAAGCAATGCAGGAGCGCGATGCTAGTAAATGGTGACAGGCTACGAGCTGTGAAACAAGAATGCATGATATCAACGATGTTGATTAACGTCACCACATTGAGCCACCATTCATCGACAAAATGAATTATTTGGAACAATTATCTTTTCGAATCATGAAAGGGATACGGCTGTGTTTTTTTGGAAAAAGCCTAAGACGTCATCATAGCATTGTCCCTCCCTGCAGTAGCCTATATGCGGAGAGCACAGACAAATCTTGAAATGTCCCAGGAACACATGGACAGCGGGTGTCGCGCGACAAATGTGAGAGCGATCACCATATCCTTAGTGAGTGCATTGCAATTAGCTTAGTGCTGACATGTCACCAGTGAAGGATGCTTGTTGCTGCAGCTTTGCTACCATACCAGCTTTTCTGGGCATTTTCTATCCGCGATGTACAAAAGTGGCAAGTGAAATATGATATCATAACTAAACCTAAATCTGATACCCAAATGTTTTCATTCGGAAGGTTTTTGCCACATTGAGTGGGCTATCTGTTCAAAAATGTCATGAGAGGTAAGGCTAAGTACTGTCGCGTTACGCCCAGTCGCATTGAGTTTTGGGTTAAACCTGTCATTGGGCTCGGCGGATTAAGTCTCGTTTGACTAAGGTTGAAATCGTCAAGTTGTCGCAAGGCATCGAACCAAGGATGTCCCCTGCACACCATGCACTCCATCCTGTTCCTCCGTACACCATGCACTTCACCCGGTTCCTCTGTACGTCTGATATACATGCACATGTTTTAATACCGTGGAAACATGACAGATTTCTCACATTTTCAGGTGGTTTTAATAAAAGTACACGTGAAAAACATGTATAAAGTACTTACGAAGAGGTAGGCATGAAGCAAGTACATGTATTTTGGTAAGCAGAACTACGAGGGGTATAAAGTTCGGATGACAGAAGTACGTACGCAAAAACTCGTCAGCAAATGTTCGCATGCTGTACAATACGCATTGAAGATGTTCGCATTGACAAAAGTTCGCCGGAACAAACGCACGTATGGAAATGGCTCGCATACATTAAGAACGTATGCAGTTGTTCGTAACAACTGAACGCACGCATGTGTTCAAAGCGGTTAAAGTTCTTTTGACAAAAAGATACGCGCGCGAATTTCGTGGGCAGCATAGGCGCAGAGGCGGCGGGCTGTGGGTGCACGCTACTTTCCGAGAATGGTAAACATTGGGCCATGGCGGTGCAACCACATGGGCATCAAGTCATACACCGGCAGCTCTTAATTTCACTGAAATGTGATTTTCGGGGATGATCTAAGGTACGAATTCGAGTGAGACATTTTTAGTTCCTTCCGGCGTATGGCGTAAAACTGCTGCTATAGGGCGATGCAAGGTCGGCTGCAGGCAGTAACCTTATAATAGGGGCTTCTTTAAAGCGGATCCAGCTGGTGCATCATTCTCTCTAGACTCTGATTCACGTCATTTTACAATCTTGTTCCGGGTGTCACTGGCGCGTCTGCCTGCTGCATTCCGCAAGCGACCTGGCTCGCTACGTCTATTAGCTGGCGTCAGTGGCGCACTCAGGGCGTCAGGCGGAGTCCTCAGCAGAGGCGGCGTCAGGGTTGAGTGATAAAGGGAACACAACCAATTCAGCGGACGATCTGCAGTGAACATGTTGTTCTTGTTCTTTGAACCTCCAGTCCCTCCGTCCCAGGGCCATCTTGCACTGCCCCTGTTGATTCAAGTTCACTTGTTGGCATCCTCAGACCGTTTAAGTTCATGCCGTGAAGAGTCAGGTTAGACATAATACTTAACCTGGCCTAGGCAAGTTAATCGCCCACCGTCCAACGCACACCCTCTCCCCTCCCCAGTCAACGGACTGCGGTTGCTCCTTCAGTGACCATTCATCCGATGCCTGACACCAAAGATGAAGGTAAGTATTTCAACGTTCAGTAGACACCTGCATACATAGTTTTGAGAACGTACTAGGTCAGACAAGCTTCATATGCCTGGCGAGCATTTTCATGCAAACTTTGAGTACTTACATCAGAAGCCGCAATACGAGCCTTACGTTATGTTGTCAAACCAACGTTATCATTGATGAACACCCGCGCCTAAACAGTTGGGCTCAAACAATTGCTTGCGACCTTATCCATTAGGTTGTTTGTTTTTAGGGTTTGGGTTTTTTAGGGTTTTATGGTTTTTAAGGTTTTGTTTTATTTAGGTTGCAATGCATTTGCGTGGAACATTTTACATATAGGTAAAAAGGTTCTGCTGGCCTTATTTCGTGAAGAATAGCCAGGAGAAAGATATAGATGCGTTGATCTCTCGGCTACATGCCTTAATTAAAACGAATGTCACCTCTAATGTTATCACAATGTGTTATCACCACGTTTAGCACTAGTCCTCGTGGTATAACCAGGAGAAAGCAGATATAGATGTGTTGATATTCTGACAATATGTCTTTATCGAAACAAACACCACTCCTGATATTCGTTTCAACAACAAAAGCATGCAGCCGAAATATAAATGCATTCAAGACTCCAAATCATCACTTTTCCCATACGAGCTATTATGCGTACAAACATTTGCGTGCGAGTGTTTTCCTCATGAGTGCTTTACCATACGATCTTCCTATACTTTTTTGCCATTGCAACTTCGGGTGCTATGAATTTTGCAGCCAATGAGTTTGATCCTGACGAACATTAGACATACATGTATTATCCTGCGAACAATTGGCATACGTTTTTTTCTGCACGTAGTGTTGTCCGCAACCCTGATCAGAGATCCACACTTGAGCAGAGTGCGCGGAGTGAGTAACATGCAACATCTAACAGAGTGAGATGGCGCGGAGCCCGTAAGCCCGATGTGGTATAGATGGCGCGAGAAGCGGTCAAAAGTCTTCTGAATGTCATAAATCACCGGGGTTTGGACAAAATATGTGAGCACAGACAGATATTTCACATGCATTTACTCTGTAACAAAAATGACATGGTCACAAGAAATTAAAGAGCAGGTTTTTCCTGGATTTTCTCGAGCTGCTAGAAGCATCAGCCTCGAAATGATCGCGGAGCTAGCTATAACCGACATACTTGACACCAGAAGGTAAATGCACGGATAGGTTGCACGGCGGTTTAGTAACAACGCCATCACTAAATATGCATGATTCAGATAGCCTTTCGGAACAGTCAGTCAGTTAAAGTGAAAATGACAAATCAGACAGTCAGCCAGGAACAGATTTCGTGGAACTCTGGCTGGAACGTGACATCGCACGGTGCTGAGGCACATTGCCCGCGCCCCCTTCCATGCAAAATCCGCCTCAAAGATATGAATACAATTCACATACTGCCATTTTGACCAGCCGCCTCATCCCTCCACAGAATCCTTGGTTCTGTCCGCACGCGAGCTAACCTGGTCGATGTGAGGCATCAGGCATGCAAACCCATGACGACGCGTGGAAGCCTTCCACTAATGTCATCGACACCTGGTGGCTTGCGTGAGGGGTTGCGGGTCACAGATCTATGCAGTGCCACCAGTGATGTACCTAGCTGAACTGTCCTTATTCAAAGCATAACACATACTTTCGGAACATACAATTTTCCGTTTTGCCTGCTGGTTGACTGGAATGTCCGCTTGCACCACGCACTATTTTCTCAATGCCTATTCAATTTCTAGCTATAATGTATCCCTTTACTTGCTTTAACCGCTATAGGAGGCTAATGTCCAGGGTTTTTGTTATGGCGGCACGGATCTAAGAGAGGACGCCAGGCTTTTTAGAGGGCGCCTTCAAAGTCTTCCTTCTGATTTCGCTGACCGGGTGGCGATGGAAGGCTACGTACGTTCGAATGAAATGCACGCATAGAGTTGAGCAGCGAGCCTTATCCGTCACAATCTGATATTATTTGGCGCCGGTGCTCATTGGCCACAATACTTCCTTGACCTTGTTGATCTCGTGAAAGAAGGAACGTTCCTTGGACAGTTCACTGCTCAAGCACCACCAACACACTGGAAGAATGGAATAACAAGTTGCAGCATAACGTCAGTTTTTACAAAACTGATTTTGTGAAGTCTCAGGCAATTTCATCTAATCTCATGTAATTTCAAAAAGTCTCATATGATTTTAATCCCATGAGACGACTTATTTGATAGTTACAAGATGCAGGATACAAACCATCCCAAACAGGCTGAGGATACTGGGTCACAAAACATTCGCTCATCAACTGGCAGATATGCCACGATTCTGCCTGCCGAATTTCACCATCCTGGCGACCTTAGGCTGGCGAGAATGGCATAGGTTTATTGATCTTCGACCACCCCCTACGTATGGGCTAGAGCATCTTACCGGCTGGATTCGATCGAAATCCATAGGCCTCCCGTCTATCTTCAAGCCTATCACCGCACCAAACCGAGCCGTCTGAGCCTCTGCACCCGGGTCCAGGGGCAAAACGGGTGCAAAAGCCGAGCATGCATTCCGCACGTGGAGAAAGTCCTCCTTACTCGGTGCGGGCGCCAGACTCTGTCCCAGCGAATGCTCTCGAACAAGACGACCTTCTGGTGCCGCGTCAAGGCGTCTGCTCTTCGGCCAGTGGAGCCGACAGATGCCTGGTTATCAGCTGACAGAGCCGATGACTCGAATCGCCAGCGCGCGTCTGTCGGCCCACGCCGTGCAGCTGAGCTGGCCGCGCAGAGTCTGCGGTGTCAACCTCTCCCACCTGAGTCGCCATCCGCCACAGAAAACGGCTTGGAGTTTCACCCGGTCACATGGTCTGAGCCCTCCGCTGCCATGATGTGTCACCCCCTTCAGCGGTGGTACTGGATGGCGTAACTCTAGATGTAGTGCGCAAGTGTTTTTTCAGTTAAGTCTCATGTCCTCTTCCTCGTTAAGTCATCTGCTGCAATGTATACGTACACAAGCGGCTTGGAAAGCCACTTCTGTTTTCTG